TGCTAGAAGAAAATGTAGGGAACAGCTTCAGGTCACTGGATTGGCAGTGATACCTTGGGTATGATACCAAAAGCATAGGCAGCTATACAAAGAGTAGACAAAGTAAAAACCTAACAATTATACCAAACTTCAAACTTCTGCATGTCAAGGGAAACAATTAGGTTGAAAAGGCAACCTATGAATGAAAGAAAATAACTGCAAATCTAATAAGGAATTAATACCCAAAATATATATATGGAATTTCTACAACTCAACAATTAAAAACTGGGTAAAGAACCTGAATAACTGGGAACCAAGATGGCGGCATAGGTTAACGCCGGAGTTTGCTGCCTCGAACAACCACTTCAAAAGTGAAACTAAAAGACGGAACGGACATCACCCAGAACCACAGGAACGCTGGCTGAGTGGAAGTCCTACAACTAGGAAAGAGAAACACATACCGACACTCAGAGGAGGCGCAGTGCTGAAGTCAAATACTGAGGTGTGGAGTGCATGCAGAGCGGGCTGGTGGCTGAGGGCGCGGTTGGTGTTTTCAATCGGGAGGGAGTCGCAGACTCTGAGCTCCAGATCTGGGCGAGTCTTTAGGGACCCTGACTCAAACGGGAGAAGCGGGACTGTCTGGCTTCGGTCGGAGCAAGTGCAGCTTTCTCTCCGAGGTTTGCAGCGGTTGCTGGGATTCAGAGAGGCAGAGCCCCTGGGGACAGGACTGAGAGCAGCCATAACTGCTCTCTCCGGCCCACCCTGTTGATCCCGTGCGACCCACCCGCCCCGCCAAAGCCCTGCACAGAGGCATTTGCCGGATAGCCTCAGGCAAATGCCAGATTAGCACCTCCCTAGAGGACAGAAGTTCTCTCACTGCAGACACAGCTGATTCTCACAGCCACTTGGCCTGGAGGTCAAATCCCCCCTAGTATTAGCTACAACAATCAAGGCTTAACTACAAGACTGCGCACAAAGACCACTACGGGGTGCACCAAGAAAGCATAACAAAATGCGGAGACAAAGAAACAGGACAGAATTGTCAATGGAAGATATAGAGTTCAGAACCACACTTTTAAGGTCTCTCAAGAACTGTTTAGAAGCCGCCGATAAACTTAATGAGATCCTCGAGAAATCTAATGAGACCCTCGATGTTGTGATAAAGAACCAACTAGAAATTAAACATACACCGACTGAAATAAAGAATACTATACAGACTCCCAACAGCAGACCAAAGGAGCGCAAGAATCAAGTCAAAGATTCAAAATGCGAAGAAGCAAAAAACACCCAACCGGAAAAGCAAAATGAAAAAAGAATCTGAAAATACGAAGATAGTGTAAGGAGCCTCTGGGACAGCTTCAAGCGTGCCAACGTCAGAATTATGGGGGTGCCAGAAGATGAGAGAGAGCAAGATATTGAAAACCTATTTGAAGAAATAATGACAGAAAACTTCCCCCACCTGGTGAAAGAAATAGACTTACAGGTCCAAGAAGCGCAGAGAACCCCAAACAAAAGGAATCCAAAGAGGACCACACCAAGACACATCATAATTAAAATGCCAAGAGCAAAAGACAAAGAGAGAATCTTAAAAGCAGCAAGAGAAAGAAACTCAGTTACCTACAAGGGAATACCCATACGACTGTCAGCTGATTTCTCAACAGAAACTTTGCAGGCCAGAAGGGAGTGGCAAGAAATATTCAAAGTGATGAATACCAAGAACCTACAACCAAGATTACTTTATCCAGCAAAGCTATCATTCAGAATTGAAGGTCAGATAAAGAGCTTCACAGATAAGGAAAAGCTAAAGGAGTTCATCACCACCAAACCAGGATTATATGAAATGCTGAAAGGTATCCTTTAAGAAGAGGAAGAAGAAGAAAAAGGTAAAGATACAAATTATGAACAACAAATATGCATCTATCAACAAGTGACTCTAAGAATCAAGTGAATAAATAATCTGATGAACAGAATGAACTGGTGATTATAATAGTATCAGGGACATAGAAAGGGAATGGACTGACTATTCTTGGGGGGGAAAGGGGTGTGGGAGATGCGGGAAGAGACTGGACAAAAATGGTGCACCTATGGATGAGGACAGTGGGTGGGGAGTGAGGGTGGAGGGTGGGGCGGGAACTGGGAGGAGGGGAGTTTTTTTGGGGGGGAAGAGGAACAAATGTAATAATCTGAACAATAAAGATTTAATTAAAAAGAAAATGTATTAAAAAAAAAATAAAGAACCTGAATGGACATTTCTCCAAATAAAATATACAAAGGGCTAGTAAGCACATGAAAAGATACTCAGGCCCTAGCTGGTTTGGCTCAATGGATAGAGCATCAGCCTGAAGACTAAAGGGTCCCGGGTTTGATTTCGGTCAAGGGCACGTACCTCAGTTTCAGGCTTGATCCCAGCCATTCTCACATCTATGTTTCTCTCTCTCTGTCTGTCTCTCTCCCTCCCTTACACTCTCTCTAAAAAATAAAAAAATCAATGGAGCTTAGCTGGCGTGGCACAGTGGTTGAGCGTCAATCTATGAACCAGGAGGTCACAATTTGATTCCCAGTCAGGGCATATGCCTGGATTGTGGGCTCATTCCCAGTGTGGGGCGTTTCTCTCTCTCTCTCTCTCTCTCTCTCTCTCTCTCTCTCTCTCTCTCTCTCTCTCTCTCTCTCTCTCTCGTCAGGGCTTGGGCCAGGGAGGAGCCTGCAACAGAGGTACGTGCCCTTGACTGGAATCGAACCTTCAGGACCCTTCAGTTCACAGGCTGACGCTCTATCCACTGCGACAAACCGACTAGGGCTAAAATATAAACTTTAAACACCTTAACTGTACCCCATCTTACAGAATCAATTCAGGTGGATTAAATACCCAAAAATGAAAGGCAAAACTATAAAGCTTTCAGATGATAATATAATATTTCTATGATCTTGAGCTAGGAAGGAAGTTCTTTTAAAACATGCAAAAATACCACCATAAAGATGAGAACTTTAGTCCTGTGAAAAAAATAAGCCATAAACAAGAGGACAGTTAAAATTAGTAAAGAACTTATTTAACACATACCACACAACTCTGGGGTGGGGGTTGTGGGAATATATAAAGAATCCCTCCCTACATATGAAAGAGGGGGAGGGGATAACCTTACAGAAAAATGACATGAAAGTTAATTCATGAAAGTGAAAATCTAACTGGTAAATAAAAAATTTAAAAAAAACAGGTACTTAACCTCATTGGTAAGGAGAAAAATGTAAGTTAAAACTATGACATATCTTTATAAACTGATGCCTTTTACTAAAATTTACGAATGTATCAGTACAAAATAGTAGTACGTATGTGATACAACAGGAACTCCTATACCCTGTGGGTGGGAGTATAAATTGGTAACATCATTACTTTGGAAATGATTTTGCACTATCTAATAAAATTGAAGATAGGTATATCCTATGATCCAGCTAATCTACTTCTAGGTATATACCCTAAAGAAATTCATGCTCATATAAACCAGAATGTAAAAAATGTTCTTAAAAGTGTGGTCTGTAATAGCCCTAAACTCAAAACAAAACAAATAACTGTTAATAGTAAAATGGATAAATTAATATATTTGTACAATGGAATGAAAGTAAGTGAACTGTACAAATACATGCTATAAAGTATATTAATTTCACCAAAAATATCTGTTACTAAAAGAGGTAAAACAAATGCAATTCAAAAAAAGGGAAGAGTAAATCATACTGTTTTGATTGCATATTGTTTTTGGAATGCATGCATAGATAGTAAAACTTAAGAGAAAAGTAATGAATGATTATCATAAGCCAGGAGAATAATTACTTCCCACATGTTGAAAAAAGGATAATGATCTAGAAGGGGACACAGTCACTTCTGGGGTGCTAGTACCATTCTATTTCTTGAACTGGATGGTTCCTGAAATATATGTCATATACTTTTCTGAATATGTAATACTTTACATTGTTTTTTAAAAGAATGGATGGTAAGAATAAACACTGCTCCATACAGATAAACATGGCTAGAGAAAAATCAGTTATGCTGATTGGTTCATAACCAAGAACCTTAAAGAAGGTTCAGGCTGCCAGGCAACCAACCATATTTTATTTCCCTAGTCCCGTGGTCGGCAAACTGCGGCTCTTTGGCCCCTTGAGTGTGGCTCTTCCTAAGCCTTAGGAGTACCCTAATTAAGTTAATAACAATGTACCTACCTATATAGTTTAAGTTTAAAAAATTTGGCTCTCGAAATTTCAATCGTACTGTTGATACTTGGCTCTGTTGACTAATGAGTTTGCCAACCACTGCCCTAGTCCATCTGCCTGCCTACTCTCCTAGAAGAAATTATACCTTTTTGTTATTAAACCTCCAACATCTCCTGTCCGATCCTCACCTTCAGTCTATGGTTGTGTTTCCTACCTCACTGGAAAGTATGGGAGTAAAGAACACTTCTACACACTCGCCACCATAAATACCCATCTACCAGGATTTTGTACCCACATATTTTGCCTTTCCTTAGCTCAGTTCTCTAATGCCAATCCACGTATTTGTGTACCAGATCCTATGCTTTCTTCCTTTCTCAGAGACATTATAGCCACTCACCCATCAGTCACCTACATCATCAATTTATTTCAGCAAACATGCTGTTATTTCTTGACCCAACTTCTCCCACCAGCTACTGCCCCATATATTTGTCCCCTTTGTAGTTGATTTTCTTAAAATTATCTATCTGTAGTTACTGTCTCCAATCCCTCTCCTCCCATTTCCTCTTAAACCCACCAAAATCAGGTTTTGGCCTGACCACTGTCAAAACTGCTCACTTAAGATAATCATAACCTCTAATGATCAATTGTCATGCTCATGTTCCTTATGTGTCAGGAGCATTTGACATGTGACACAGGTTACCACTCCTTGCTCCTTAATAGATTTACATCACTTGGTTTCTGATAAAACCATTCTCTTCTGCTTTTTCCTTAGTATAACTGGTCACTCCTTGTCAGTTTCCACTGCTGATCTCATTTTTTTTTTTAATATGGAACGCTTCATAAATTTGCGTGTCATCCTTGTCCAGGGGCCATGATAATCTTCTTTGTGTCATTCCAATTTTAGTATATATGCTGCTCAAGCGAGCACCTGATCTTGCTTTTTAATTAATGTTGGGATAGCCCAATATATGTTTGGTATTCTTCTGTCAATCTATACTCAATCTCTTGTCAATCTCATCCACTCTCATGATTTAAATACATCTTTATACCAATATTTTCAGTTCAGACACCTCTCTTAAACTCCAGAGTCATTTATAATGTCTAGTAGACATTTGAAATTCCATGTCCAAAACTATTTTGTACTTTTTCCCTCAAAACCTGCTCTACCATTTATTAACCACCTTTATTTCTCTTTAGGGTAATCTCATCCTTCCTGTTACTGAGACCAAAAAATCTGGAGTCATCCTTGTTTCCTCTCCCAACATCAGTAAATCCAGTGTATTCCATCTGCTAAATATAACCAGAATTTAAGATTTTTTCACCTCCTCAACTGCTACCCCATAGTCCAAACCACATTATATCTCACTTGGATTACTAAAGGAGCCTCCTATCTGGTCTCTCTGCTTATACTCTTAAGCCCTCTACATGCTATACTTAACATAGCAGCGGAAAAATCCTTTTAAGGTTTAATTTGGATCTCATCTTTCCTGTTTCAAATTCTTCAGTGGTTACTCATCTTACTCAGAGGAAAAGTATAGCATCTTACTTACTATGCATGCCCTAGCCCAGGACAACATCAACATTTTTTTTCTGAGGTAAGAAAACACAAAAGTAAACACACAATATGGAGCCTAAAAAAGTGATTCCTAAAGCCAGTCCTCAAACTACTTCTGGTCCATGAACAGCTTTTATTTAACCTTCACTGTGTGATAACAGTGCAGTGCATTTTTATAAATGTCTCTTTTTTAAAACATTTGCTTTTTTCTATGTTTTGTTGTTAAATTTTATATTTTTCATAAAATAATAGTTATAAATGGGAGGTTTTTAAAACATTTTATTACTTAAAAAATAAAAATCTGGCAGAACTAAGTTTTAATGATTTTTTTTCTATTTCTCCTTTCTACTCTCTATACATTTTCTTCGCTGAATTAAAAAACAGAACATTTGTACTGGTATATGAAATTGAAAAGTCTGGGAACTGCTAGCCAAAAGGATTTAACAAGCACATACCTGCACTGGAAGCCCACTAAAGCACAGGTAGGAGAAGCTATATTGGTTAGAGTATTAGACCCACACCCCTCTCAAGCTCTGTCAGTACTAGCTATGTGACATTAGTTTTTTGCCTCTCTGACCCTCTAGTTCAGGGGTCCTCAAACTACGGCCCATGGGCCACATGCAAATACAAACATTGTATTTGTTCCCGTTTTGTTTTTTTACTTCAAAATAAGATATGTGCAGTGTGCATAGGAATTTGTTCATAGTTTTTTTTTTTAAACTATAGTACGGCCCTCCAACAGTCTGAGGGACAGTGAACTGGCCCCCTGTTTAAAAAGTTTGAGGACACCTGCTCTAGTTCTTTATCTATAATACCCATTATAGTATCCATTTCAGAGAAATGTGAAAATTGAATGAGATGATACATTTAAAACATAATGATACCCAATAGCTACCTATGTGTTTAGTTAATGCAGTGTTGTATGGTGGGAGAGAGAGTGGGAAGGAGGTCAGTGGGAGCAGGCCACCCTAGCACAGAGAAGGATTTTATCCACTGATGTTTAGAACTACTAGTACATGATGATAATAAAAAGCATTTGGTAAGTTTCACTACTGCTTTTAAGTTCTCTGAAGACAATGTACCCTACTTGCCTTCATGAGGATATACCACAGCAAAAGAACATCTCCCACATCCACTCATTCATTATTGAGGGTTAGGCACAGTGTATGGCAAGGACTCAAAAAGTAGTATTAAGAGTATGGTCACCATGTACTCTTAAATAAACAGGGTAATTATTTAGAAAATAAAAATATTCACCTTTTTTGAATTTATGTATAGGGAGTTTCTTAAGTTGATCTTTATGAAGTCTGTTTCTTCTAGCTCTATGTCTATCCTGGAAAAATTTTGTGATCTAAAAATAAAAGGGAAGACAAGGCATCAGATATTAAACATGCAAATAGAAAATGGCCATTAAAATAACAAATATCTTTTAAATTTCTGGATATCTGCTGGAAATAAATTCAATTTACTTAAATCCTAATGGCAGAATTAATTAAAGCATTAAACTATATTAGTAATTAATTATTCCATTAAATTTCTTTTGAATTTTTATTCATTGACCTAAATGATCTTTAATTTACTCTGACGAAAACATTATAAATAACATATGTTTGTTTGAAAAAATACAAATTGTAAACTACATGTTACAAAGAAGATCAAAAGAATGGGAGGGTTGGAATTCCTATAATTATAAACTAAAAAATTTTTCAAAAATACACTTGTTAGTCACTACACTTTCAGTCCTAGAAGAAAAATACAGAACACCCCTAATACAAATATTCAGAAATGCTAGATAACATGCAAAGATTTTTAACTATAAATTAATATGCTTGCAAGAATAAAAAGGAAGTTCACAGGGCTTGAAGCAAATGCCAAAAGCAACATCCATAAAAGAAAACTTTGACAAATTTAACTACATCAATGTGAAGGACTTCTGTCCTCAACAGTGTTAAAAGATAAAGACAAGACACAGACTGGGGGAGAATATTTGCAAACTGTATATCTGATAAGGATTTGTATCCAGAATATAAAAAGAACTCAAAACTCAATAAGAAAACAAGCAACCCAATAGAAAAAAAATGAGCACAATATTTGAATAAACACTTCACCACAGAAGATCTAAAGATGGCATATAATCACTTGAAGAAATGCTCAACAAATTACTCAATAGGAAACTAAAATTCAAATCACAAATACCACTATACACCTATTAGAATGACTAAAATTAGAAAGACTGACTATACCAAGTATTGGCAAGGAAGCAGAGACACTCGCACTCTGGTACACTAATGGTAGACTGTAAAATGGCACCACCATGTTGAAAAATAGTTTGGTGATTTCTCATAAATTTAAATACACATTTACCATTTGACCCAATCATCCCACTCCTATTTACATTCACCCAAATAGCATATAGCCACATGACAATTTGAATACAAAAGTCCATGTCCAAATGTTCATGTCAGCTTTATTTGTAAGAGCCAAAAATTATGAACCCAAATATCCATCAATAGGTAAATAGATAAACAAAATTGTAGTATATACATACAATGGAAGATAACCCGGCTATAAAAAGAAATAATTAATGTACTCAATAACATATATGAATATCACAATAATTCTGAAAGAAAGAAGGCAGACACAAAAGATTACATAATTTATTATTCCATGTATATAAAATTGTAGAAAATCTAAAAGCAGATCTGTGGTTGACTAAAGTTGGAGGTGAGTAGGACATGAAATTGGAAGAGGTTAGAGGGAGGATTACCAAGGAGCATGAGAAAACTTTTTGAACTGATCAATAAATCTTGCTTGTGGTGGTGGCTTCACAGATATACATATATCAAAACTTGCCAAATTATAAATTTAAATGTGTGAGGTTTATTATATGTCAATCATACATCAGTAAATGCTTAAAAAAAATTAACAGTGACCACAAAGACTATAATGTAAGCTTTCAACCAGTAGCAGAAACAGAGAGATGAGAGAGAGAGACAGAGACAGAGAGAATGAGAATAAATAAAAATTGGGTAACCCAAATTTACAGAGAAGAAAAAAAAACAATAAAAATTAAATAATAGAAATTAGTCCAATAATATATAATACATGATTATATATTATTCATAAAAATGTAAATGGATTAAATCCACCAGTGTTTTAAAAGAGTGCATCATAGTATATAAAGAAAAAGTGACACCATATGCTATTAACTCTTTAAGACAAAAATAAAGGTAGAGATTAAAGATGGTGGCAGAGTAAGTGGGTACAGCACAGACATGCTCCCCAGAACAAACTGGAATTACAACTAAAATATAGAAAAACTTCCTGAATAATCAATGGAAGACTCACAGGAGAAAAAAATGATACCTGAGGACCGAAAGTGGAGACCACATAGACTCTGGTAGGAGGGGAGGAGGGGTGAAAAGTCTGGCCAGGCACGTACAGACAGCAACTAAAGTCCCAGAGAGAGATCTCAGCTGTTGCCACTGAGAACTCTGGGATCTAATCCACAAACTGGACTCCCAGCAGAGAGTACCACAACTGAGAAGGGTACCCACATAACATCTGGCTATGAAAAACAGTGGGTCGCTGTTTACCAAGGAGTAACAGCTGAAAATTCAGACACCCTCTTAAAGGACCAAAACACAAGGTTCCCTGTGGAGCCACCTACCTTGTGCTCTGGCAGAGGGAGGACAGAGTGGATTGGAGCTATGTGAGCAGAAGCCAGACACCCCAGTTTCCTGTGCTGAGTCATTCCCTCATGCAGCAGAGAGCATCTTTCCCATAAAGACATTTGCCTTCCCTGAGGGGAAGACAGTTGACCCATCCTATTGGAAAACACCTTGCCCTGAGGCCACTTAACACATTGTTTGCGGGTAGTTTTTATCGCGCGCTAACAGGTGGCACGGGCCATTTTTGCTAATTTTTTGCACAAATGGCAACGTTCAGTAAAATTACAATAACTTTAGTTTATGTATTTATACGTTACCCGCATTCTACCGCTAGTCTATAAAAAACGTATTAATACGTGTCCTGCACTCTACTACCAGTCAACGTAAAACATTTAAGTAAAACGTATAAATACGTTTCCTGCATACAATGTGTTAAGAGACTAAAACTAACAATTAGTCTCCAGGCAGAAGCAACTGCCCCACTCTGTTGAAAAAAACTCCCACCACAGCTGAGGATGATTGCCTGGGGGCAATTCAAGATGGAATCCTATCAGTTTGTAGGCAGAGTGAGTCTCTGGAGAATTTTATTCCTTGACTGATCTAATTAGTCAGAAACAGCATTTGATAATGTCTTGCACTAGAGATTGAAAAGCATAGAGTAGTGGTCAGCAAACTGTGGCTCGCAAGACACATGCGGCTCTT